AGATCTATTAATTGCTCTCGTGCGCGCGCGCGCGCGCGCGTGCGTGCGTGCGTGCGTGTGTGTGTGTGTGTGTGTGTGTGTGTGTGTGTGTGTGTGTGGGTGTGTGGGTGTGTGTGTGTGTGTGTGCTCGCGTGAATGCGTACGTGCGCGCATGGGCTCACAGTGTATCTGCTGAGTATGCAATCGCAAAACTGTGACTTTATTAATACTACTGGAATACCAACGTTATAAGTATAAATAGTAGTGTAATAATTGCAAGTAAATGAAAAATAATAAAATTAAAAAGTCAATCAAATGTCAGATTAAACGGAGCTAATCGTATAGCGATTAACAGCTGGTAGATAAAAGCGAAATAGCGTAGATATGAGATTACCTATTGATTGTCAGATTCGAAACTTGTGGCTCTCCTGCCAACATATCTGTCTGTTCGTCATCCTATAAATGAGAAATTCACAAGATTCCTGAAAAGATCTGTCGATATATATATATATATATACATATTCCCTTCGCAAAATTATGTATACTGTAATCTCCGCCACTCTCAAGTCTAAAAACTCAATTCTGCGTGAAGAATCTCTTGTCGACCTGCAGGCGCTTACCACTAAAAACCTCATTCAATGCTGCGGTTTAAGGCGGTTTTGAGCATATAGACCCTAAGCCAGGAAAACAGTGTGCCTGGGGTAACTTGTTAGATTACCAAGTGGCAACCACCTTGTTAGATACCAAAGCATCAGCCCCGGGTAGTATCGAGTGTTTAATAGTCAGTGCAGCTAAGAAAGCACATCAGCGTATCTGGCGGGAGTATCAGCCTACCTGTGCAACGTCAGATGGTTGCACCCTGCGTTGGTGTTGCCGACATCGCCCCTGCAGGCAGCGTCGGCATGTGTCAGATCGACTCACCACGTACATGAAGAGCAAACTAACGATGAAGCCCAGCAGTATGGCCATGATGACAGCCAGCACCGTGTAGCCGTGCTGTAGCTGAAGCTGCAACGTCGATATTATCAAGGTTTACTCGCGCATACACACGTAAGCACGCAGGTAGGCCTACGCACGCACGCACGCACGCACGGATGCGCACGCACGGCATCACAACGCACAAACGGGCACGCACGCACGCAGAGACGCACGTACGCACGGACGCACACGCGCGGCATTGCAAAGCACAAACGGGCACGCACGCACGCATGCACGCACGCACGTACGCACGCACGCACGCACACCTCTACATTCCACATACTCCCTCCCCCCACACA